TTGTGATTGGTTCAATCTTACGCTTGTTTGTTTATTTCTTAATCTCATGAAAGGAAATGTTTCTGCTTCGCGGTTTTGATAAATTAGCCTTTTAAACTTTTTGATCTCACGTTGAATGTTTACAGCTGTGTGTATCTTTACAGAACATCAAAGATTACACTAGTTTAGCGCATTAAAGAAATGTTTTGAAATTAATCATAACTATTACAAATTCCTCAAATATCATTGGTGCATATGCATCTTCATTTTGTAGCATTGAAAGTAACCAGAGGTTTTATGATAATGCTATAAGGTACTTTGAGGAAGATTTGTCCTGCATACTTGTGAGGGCTCTGCTCCACAAAAGAAATATGATTCAATAACGTAGTGAATAACTGACACTCAACCACTCTTTAAATGGTAACAAATGACCACACTAATAATAACGATAATAATGATGATGACAACAAAAGTCACAGTAATGATAACTTATAGGGGCTAACTCAATAACCTCACTGTTCTCTGTCGGTATATCCTTGGGTTTCAATGATGTTTAAACTAGCCTCTATTTAATTTTGATTTGCTAGTTAATTATAAATCATTTTCTAATTTCATTGTAATTGTGAGACTTTTGTTTTATACTGCCATTCCATCATTCCATGGAATGCCATCACCTTGTTGAACTCAACGAATCGTATTTCGGACCTTGCTCGCTTCGCAAATTTAGCAGCTTTTTTGAGCATTTTGTCGCTGATTGCAGTGGTAAAATGATCTCTTTGCGAATAAGAAAATTTTTCTTCAAAGTTTCCGCAATGTGCAGATCAAACCTATTTAGATATTTCTGCAAGGAAAAGTCTTTTTTCCAATTACTTGCCGGAGACGCCACTTAATTATTTTGCGATGTTTATCATCTATTGTATTGTCACGGTTAGCGCTGAAAAAAATTATATGTTCGAATCTACTGTAAAAATCTTTCCTCTCGATTTTCATGATGCACCGATCACTCCTTTTAGGACATTTCTGCAAGATAAAGCTTTCTTTTTTCACGCGCCATTCTAAAATGATTGTGAGATGTTTTTCTTGCTTTTTTCAGTACACGACGGGACAACAGTGAGTAGCACGGAACAGTGTGATCACCTGCTAATATTCCGTGTAACACTCGAAGCAATTCGAGGAAATTCGAAGAAACATCACCAATTGAGCGTTGAACGACCGAAGTTGTTCCGAAGCAAACCAAAGCCAAGAGCGAGAAAAATCTGGTAAAACTGGATATCGGGTAAAACTGGACAAAGAGATCGTTCAAATTCTATTGTTACCCTAATTCACTCAACAGGACAACATTATGGCTTCGCCTTCACAGGAGGCAGTAGCCATAAAAAGCAAGTCAAATGATCTACTTTTTCTAAAACACATGTACATTCAGAAATGAGTCAAGTGCTTCTTCAACAGAGCATGCGCACTATCAAGAAAATTGAGCCTGCATAAATATCAGCGGCATTTGTGTTTGTTAACTTGAAGTTTCAACACTTGTCGCTCGGAAGTCTAGAAAACAAGATCTCTGTCGGCTGTTATGTTGTAATGTCTCGCGCAGAAAAAACTGGATGTGACATCATTGGGTCAGCTTATTCAAGAATATACGTTTTCGACTGTCCACACGACGCCGTATTCAATGCGTACTTTAAAAAAATTCACTCCGAGACACGTTTTCAAAAAGATTGCATAATCATCAACCGTATTCACTGGGTACGTGTGGACGGAAGGCCAATCAAAATTAAAAGTATCTGCATACGTGTGAACGGAGTTTATGCTATTGGGAGTTAAAAAAAATGTTTTTGGTGCCACTTGAGGAAAGTTGAATAGACAGAATAAACGAGAAAAGTATAAGAATAGGGAAAGATTAGAAAGTTGGCACGAATATTGGCAATATCCTCTTAGGGGGCTAATTTAAGCTGATACAATGAGCTAAAGACTTATTGAAGTTTACTGCATAAATTGTGGATAACTCATTCATTTTTTGTCGCAACTTAATGTTCCACTGGGGAAATCTACATGTTTTTAATGAATCACCGGTCGTGATCAAAAATGGAACGGTGACGGAAAAATAACTTTTGTTCGTCCAGTGGCTTAAAATAGCCAAAGCAAAATTTTACACATGTACTTATCAAGTTGTCAACCATTTCTTTTACATTCTCCTCCTTCACTGGATACCTGCATCCACGACCTGCGTTCTCGATCGAAATATGACCTTTCTCATTTCTTTTTGTCTCCAGCAGTGAGTGAGTTTAACATGGCACACGTTTGCGTCAATGTTTTGGGAATGGGGCAAATATCACAAAGGCCTGAAGCAGTAACGATAAGACAGAAACAAAGTGGCAGAAGGCAAACAAAAACAGCACCAATTACGAACACAGTTGTTTTAAGCGCCCTGTTCTCTCTGGTAAATATTTCCACTTCTTGTTGGGGCAATTGTTGAGTTTTAATCTTTTCTTGTTGAAGACATGTTTCTCGATACACTACGAAGTAGGCGAAAAGCAAGGAAAAGAATACACGAAAGGATGAGAAGGCCAGACAAACAATGGTTGGCCAAGGAGACCAGTTAAGGCGTCAGTCACCGCTAAACAGGCCAGCAAAATGTTGCTGTTGGTACGGAGTCTAGGCGTCGATTTTACAGCTTTTAACACCAGTAGGTTGAGTAGAACTGTAAAGGGACAAGTGATGGTGTTGATGATGATTATGATTATAAAACCAACCGCCGAAGGGACATCTGCTGTGTCGCCTTCTCTACTGGTTACATTTGTAGGCTGAGGAGATGTTTGCCATGTTAAATTTGACTCTTAACCCAAATAAACTAGGTTTGTCGTAAAACACTGTTTCTTTCAGACGTTTAACCTCGTATGAAATCGGCGGAAGATAAAGGCAGAAGAAATCTGACTTTCCTTTTTTAATAATTTCAAAATCGCCTGGGAATGAGTACTCAGTCCACATGTGCACAGGAACAATAAAGAACAAAGCAAATCGGAAATGCAAAACTATAAACGAAAAACTGACCGCCTAACACAAGGTGACCACTTTGTACGGTTCCGCTTAATACAGGGTAGACTTAAGAAATAACAATTCAGTTCAATAATGATCTTAAGCAAATGCTCTTTATCAAATTCGAATTCATGATTACAAGCATCAGGATTGACCAGAGAGAAAAAGCTCAAACGTGGAATTTACCCCTATTCTTGGCCAACCTGTAAATCTTTCTCTAGTGTTACATCTTTCTTCGTGATTCGTTCCATTTAACCTTTTTATTTAGTCGAACCAAACTAACACTTTGTAATATTCAGTAAAATATAAAAAACGTTGCTGATTATGTTAATGTGGAATATATTTTATGTTCGAGAAAAAGTAAAGTGGGAACATAAAGTTCCCACGATGTGCAGATCAAACCTATTTAGATATATCTGCAAGGAAAGTCTTTTTTTCTATTACGTATCGGAGAAGCTTCCGTGAAATTATTTTGTGATGTTTATTGCAGTGTCATAGTGAGAACTAAAAAACAGTTATATCTTCGGATCTAGTGGGAATAACTCGCTGATTGAAACTGTTATATACTCCCTCTTTAAAGAAAAAGTTTTTCCTCTAAATTTTTATGATGTGCAGATCACTCTTTTCAAGACATTTTTGCAAGATAAAGCTTTATTTTTTCACTCGCCATTCTGAAATGATTGGGAGATGTTCATCGTCTTCAGTAGTACACTTCGAGACAAATAGTAAGTAGAACCGAAAAACAGCTTGATCATCTGCTAATATTCCGTGTAACATTCGAAGCATTTTTAAGAAATCGTCACCAATTGGGCGTTGAAAGACCAAAGATGTTCCGAAACAAACAAAAGCCAAGAACTTGGAATATCGTGTAAAACTCGGCAGACTTCGTTGTGGACGAAGAGGTCGTTCGTATTCTATTTTATTCGTATTGTATTCGTATTGTCACTCACTCAACAGATGAACATTATAGCTTCGCCTCCATAGGAGGCAGTAGCCATAAAAATTAAGTCAAATGATTTGCTTTTTCTAAATCACTTGTACATCAAGCAATGAGTCAAGTGGATAAGGGCCTAAGTGATCGATGCGCTTCACTTTTATGATCACGTGGTCCCACTTGACTTTTCCTCGCGCATAAATTACAGCAGTTGATATTTATATAATCAATAATTATGTTTATGGCCATGTCCACACATGCATATTTACCAAAAAATTCGCGTCCACAAATACCCCAATCGAATCGTTTTAGTCCGTCCTCACCTATCCGATATGTATCCGGATAAATCAACGCTTTTTTCAACCGAGCATGCGCACTATCAAGAAACTTGAGCCTGCAATAAATATAAGCGGCATTTGTGTCTGTTAAGTTGAAGTTTCAACACGTATCGCTCGGAAGTCTAAAAAACAAGATCTCTGTCGGCTGTCATATTGTAATGTCTCCCGCACGAAGGACTTGATGTGACATCGCTACGTAACTGTATACGTTTTCGAAAAGGTTGCAAAATCATCAACCTTATTCACTGGGTAAGTGTGGCCGGAAAGCCAATCAAAAAAATTTATCTGCATACGAGTGAACGGGTTGCATGTTATTGGGAGTTAAAAATACACCTTTGGTGCTACTTGAGGAAGGTTAAATAAGAAGAATAAACGAGAAAAGTATTACATAAGGAAAGGGAAAGATTAGAAAGTTGGCATGAATACTGGCAATAACCTTTTGTTGGCTAATTTAAGCTGGTACAGTGAGCTAAAGACTTACTGAAGTATACTGCATAAATTGTGGATAGCTCATTAATTTTTTTTGTCGCCACTTAATCTTACACTGGGGAAATATGTATGTTTTTCATAGATCACCAGTCGTGATCTAAAATTTAACGGTCAAAAAAAGCCAATAACCACAGAGTTTTGTTCATCCGGTGGCTTAAAAAGGCGAAAGCAAAATTTCACATGTCTACTTATTAAGTTGTCGACCATTTCTTTTACATTCCCCTCCTTCACTGGATACCTGCATCCACGACCTGCGTTCTTAATCGAAATATGACCTTTCTCATTTCTTTTTGTCTCCAGCAGTAAATCAGCGGATTAACAAGTGAGTTCAACATGGCACATGTTTGCGTCACCGGTGCGATGGTAGGGCAAATATCACAAAAGCATGTAACTAACAGAATAAGACAGAAACAAAGAGGCAGAAGGCAAATAATAACAGCACCAACTACAAACATAGTTGTCTTAAGCGCCTTGTTCTCTCTGGTAAATCTTTCCACTTCTTGCTGGGGCAATTGTTGAGTTTTAATCTTTTCTTGTTGAAGATGTGTTTCTCGATATATAATGAAGTAGGCGAAAGCAAGGAAAAGAATGCACGAAAGAGTCAGAAGGACAGAAAAAAAACGTACAACTAAGGACACGTTTAGAGCTCTAAAAACCCCAATGATAAAAGCAAGGATCCAAACTCCTAACACTGCTCTCTTCATTTTTTCATCAGTTATAAAGTTTGGGTATTGCATCGTAAATTTGATCGCAATGAGTCTCTCGAGAGTAACCAGCATCAGATGATAGTATGAAGCTGTTAGAATCACAACTACAGTTGTGGCAAAACAATTTTCAACTGTTCCACTGTCACTGAGACCGAATAATAGGAAGATCTTCCACAGGACAAACAATGGTTGGCCAAGGAGACCAGTTAAGGCGTCAGTCACCGCTAAACAGGCCAGCAAGATGTTGCTGTTGGTACGGAGTCGAGGCGTCGACTTTACAGCTTTTATCACCAGTAGATTGAGTATAACTGTGAAGGGACAAGTGATGGTGTTGATGATGATTACATTTATAGCACCAGCCACTGAAGGGACATCTGCTTTGTCGCCTTCTCTACTGATTGTATTTGTAGCATTTGTAGAATTAGCCGAGGAGAAGTTTACCATGTTGGATTGGAAGCTTGATCCAAATAAACTAGGTTTCTCGTAAAAACTGTTTCTTTCAGACGTTTGACCTTGCATGAAATCGGCGGAAGATAACGGCAGAGGAAGTCTGACTTTCCTTTTGTAATGAATGACTTAAAAATCTCCTGGGAATGAGTACTCAGTCCACATCTGCACAAGAACAATAAAGAACAAAGCAAATCGGAAACGCAAAACTGTAAACGAAAACTGACCGCCTAATTCAGGGTGACTGCTTTGTACGGTGCCACTTAATACAAGATAGACTTAAGAAATAACAATTCAGTTCAATAATGATCTTAAGCAAATGATCTTTATAAAATTTGAATTCATGATTACAAGCACCAGGGTTGACCAGAGAGACAAAACTCAAACGTAGAATTTTCCCCTTTTCGTTTCCGACCTTTAAATCTTTCCCTGGTGTTATATCTTTCTTGTTTATTCGTGCCATTCAACCTTTTTCTTTGGTCGAACCAAGCTAACATTTTGTAATATCCAGTACAAAAAAAGTCTTTTTGATGATGTAAATATAGACTATTGTATTTTATGCGCGAGAAAGAGTCAAGTGCGAACATTCAGTTCCCACGATGTGCAGATCAAATCTATTTCGGTACATCTTCAAAGAAAAGTCTTTTTTTTTTTCAATAACTTGCTGGACTCGCCATTATTTTGTGATATTTATCATTTATTGTAGCGTCACGATCAGAATTTAAAAAATTATATCTTCGGATCTACTGGGAATAATTCGCTGATTCAAACGCTAAAAAACTCCCTCTTTGATGAAAAAAACTTTCTTCTCAATTTTTATGATGCGCCGATCACTCCTTTTAAGACATTTCTGAAAGGCGAAGCCTTTCTTTTTTTTTTACGCCATTCTGAAATGATTGTGAGATGTTCATTGTCACACGTAGTACGTACACTACGAGACAAACAAGAAGTATCACCGAAAAACATTGTGTTCACCTGCTAATATTCCTTGTAACATTAGAAGCGATTCGAAGAAATCGTCACTTATCAAGAGTGGAACGACCGAAGATATTTCGGAACAAACAAAAGCTAAGAGCGAGGAATATCGGGTAAAACTCAGCAGACTTCGTTTTGGACGAAGAGGTCGTTCGCATTCTCGTGTTGGCTTCGCCTCCATAGGAAGCATTAGCAAAAAATATCAAGTCAAGTGATTTGCTTTTTTTAAACTACGTGTACATCCAGCAATGAGTCAATTGAATAAGGGCTTATCGATTCGCTCCACTTTTATATACATGTATTCCCACTTGACTTTTCCTCGCGCATGAATTACATCAGTTGATATTTATACTGATAATCAATAAATATATGTTATTTGCCAGCCGGGAGGTCCGTATTGGGGATAAATGTGCCCGAGGTCCGGCCTTGGGCGGTACTCAAGACAGAGGGCATAGTTTTTCCCAATAAGGACCGACCTACGCTAATGAATAATATTCTTATTTTTCCCTCAAACTTGACGAAATTCTTTCCAAAAGAACCTGAATGATAGATTTAGGGCTGTTATGACGGCTAGATCTTCCATAAACTGATTAATTTTTGAGTGAGTAAGTGGTAGTAAAAATAGAGGTGATGCAAATTAAAGAGAGAAGCTTCGCCGAAACATTTTTATTTGCTCAATGATAGAGGCGATTTAAAAGGCTTCCAAACTAAACTTTGAAACATTATTTTTACAAGTGTCTGTCAAAATCTGACACCTCTTCATTAGAGAGCGCGTAAGAAATAAAAGCGCATATACACTTTTGAAAAACAACGGAGCTAGTTTGGCAAGGACTGTCACGACAATGTTTTCTTCAAAAACAGTTAATGATCTTACGGAAAGTATTATTCACTCTCATCGACGATTAATGAATGTACGCAGATTTACCTCTGTTCAATAAGTAAATGGCAAGGAAAGTAATCGTAAGTAAATTCAGCTTTTTTATTTTGAAGTTGTGAGGGTGCTTGTTTGTTCGCTTTAAATGACATGTATAAATCTGGTCTTTCTTCCGGAAAAACTAATTTCGAATGACAAACCTCAACTAGATACATGGGGATTCGAATGCGGCTTTTTCTTATTGAGTTCCTCTAGTTTCTGTTGACTAATTTACGGTACAAATGTCCAAATTGAACGGACTTGGAAAGACACCGAAAGCTTATTTGTTGTAGAACTGATAACTTCGCTCGCCCTTTTACTACGAAGAAATCCTTTGAGGAAATTCAGATATTAAATGAATGAAAGCTCCATCGATTAATTCAACTGTGACCTCACGTTTTAACTTTCTAGGTACTTTTTGTGAAGGAATAAAATTTATTACAAATGGTTTTTAAGACCACTTGTCAACCAATTTAATGACACTTTAGCCTATACAAATTCATTTCGAAACCAATATTTTAGTCCACCAAAGTGATCTGAGAGGGAGAATAGTTATTTATCAGTTTGAGGTAGTTAGCGACGTCGTTGCTTCAAAATACTGCCCAGCCGGAAAACCAGATATATCTATGAAAAATGGCAACGAAGGTAGGGATGTACCCGGCGGTTCACGAAAGTGTTACCGTGCCCGTGGGCAGAGATAGGAAAATAAGGACCGTGCTAAGAACCGATCAGATTGTGGAATTCGTTACTGTAACCTCTGAGAAAAAAATGATGTTTATGGCCCTGTCCACACGCGTCTGAAAATTTTTAAATCCGTAACTTTATCAATGCACATTTTAAAAAACATTCGCGTCCACACCTACCACTGGGGAAATTTACACGTTATTTAAGGATCACCAGCGTGATCAAAACGTAACAGTCAAAAACAACAACACCTTAAGAATTTTGTTCATCCAGTGGCTTTAAAAGGCGAAAGCAAATTTTACATGTGTACTTATCAAGTTGTCAACCATTTCTTTTACACTGCCCTCCTTCACTGGATACCTGCATCCACGACCTGCGTTCTTAATCGAAATATGACCTTTCTCATTTCTTTTTGGATTAACAAGTGAGTTTAACATGGCACATGTTCGTGTCTTTTGCCTGAGGAATGGAAACATGCCGACATTACTCCTCTACATAAGAAGGGTTCCAAATCTTCGAGAGAAAATTACCGCCCAATTTCCCTTACTTCAATTGCTTGTAAGATCTGTGAAAAAATTGTTTTTGATAGGATGATTAAGTTCTGGCGCGAAATCGACTTTATCAATAGCAACCAATTTGGCTTTTTACGAGGAAGATCTACTACAACTCAAATGTTATCAACGTTTAATGACTGGGCGAAATCCCGTAATTCATCCACTCCTACCGATGTTGTTTTTCTGGATCTTGCCAAAGCCTTTGACAGCGTTCCTCATGAGCGACTGCTTTTAAAATTGAAATGTAGCGGCATCGACGAATGTTTACTCAACTGGCTGAGACATTTTTTGGTGGGGCGCAAACAACGTGTAGTCGTTAGGGGATCTTATTCTGATTGGTCGTGCGTTACCTCCGGAACTCCACAGGGAACCATTCTCGGGCCCCTATTGTTTTTATTGTATATTAATGACATATCTGAATTCCTATCATCTACAGTAAAGTTATATGCAGACGACACGAAGATCTACAGAGAGATAATTGACCCTATAAAAGATAGTCAGCTTCTTCAGGATGATCTTAATAATCTTAGCGCATGGGCTCGTAAGTGGCAGCTACGTTTCAACGCAGACAAATGCGAATCTATGCGAATCACGCATTTACGCGATAAGTCGGTAACTAATTATTTCTTAGAAAAGCCCCTGAAAGACGTGACTAATTTTAAAGATCTCGGTGTCACACTAACTAGAGATCTTTCATGGGGCCATCACATAAGTATCACTGTCAATAAAGCGAACAAAGTTTTAGGTTCCATTAAACGCTCAGTAGGCACCGCTAACACAAATGTTTTTTCTATGCTGTACATGTCTCTGGTACGGCCAATCTTGGAATATGCGGTACCTGTTTGGTGTCCTTACCTTGTTAAGGACATCCATGCCCTTGAAAATGTACAGCGAAGAGCCTCAAGACTCGCTTTAAATCAACGCAAAGGAGAAATGTCCTATGAAGACCGATGCAAACTGTTAAAATGGCCCACTCTCTCTGACCGTAGAACTTACTTATCTTTAGTCGAATGTTATAAGATAGTTTTTGGTTTTTATCATTTAAATTTTGAAGACTTCTTTGATATTGCCACGATTCGGTCTACGAGAGCAAATCATCAATACAAACTCTATATTAAACCAGCTAGACTTAATTGTTACAAAAATTCTTTTTTTATTAGGATTGTCAAATTATGGAACGAGTTACCGGGTGATATAGTGGAAGCTGACAGCTTTCAGCATTTTAAATCTAAACTTAAATCGTACTTAAATATTTGATTGTAATGATTTTGATTTATATTTTGTCTTTTCTTTTAAGGGAGTTTTTACACAGGGATAACCTCTTAACTTCCTTTTCTAGAAGTATTTTCTTTTTAGTTTTATTTGTATATAATAGTTATCATCTGCTTCTGGAATAAATAAAGTATGTAAGTATGTATGTATGTATGTCACCGGTGCGATGATGGCGCAAATATCACAAAAGCATGTAAGTAAAAGAATAAGACAGAAACAAACTGGCAGAAGGCAAACAATAACACCACCAACTACAAATACTGTTCTTTTAAGCGCCTTGTTCTCTCTGGTAAATCTTTCCACTTCTTGTTGGGGCAATTGTTGAGTTTTAATCTTTTCTTGTTGAATACGTGTTTCTTTGATACATAATGAAGTACGCGAAAGCCAGGAAAAGAATGCACGAAAGAGTCAGAAGGACAGAAAAAGAGCGTACAACTAGGGACATTTTTAGAACTCTAAAAACCCCACTGATAAAAGCAAGGATCCAAGCTACTAACACTGCTCTCTTCATTTTTTTGACCGCAACGAGCCTCTCGAGAGTAACCAATATCAAATTAAAGTATGAAGCTATTATAATCACAATTTTAGTTGTGGTATAACAACCTTCAACTGTTCCACTGTCACTGAGACCGAAAAATAGGAAGATCTTCCACAGGACAAACAATCGTTGGCCAAGGAGACCAGTTAAGGCGTCAGTCACCGCTAAACAGGCCAGCAAAATGTTGCTGTTGATACGGAGTCTAGGCGTCGATTTTACAGCTTTTATCACCAGTAGGTTGAGTAGAGCTGTAAAGGGACAAGTGATGGTGTTGATGATGATTATGATTATAAAACCAACCGCCGAAGGGACATCTGCTGTGTCGCCTTCTCTACTGGTTACATTTGTTACATTTGTAGAATTAGCTGAGGAGATGTTTGCCATGTTAAATTTGACTCTTAACCCAAATAAACTAGGTTTGTCGTAAAACACTGTTTCTTTCAGACGTTTAACGTTTAATGAAATCGGCGGAAGATAAAAGCAGAAGAAATCTGACTTTTCTTTTGTAATAATTTCAAAATCGCCTGGGAATGAGTACTCAGTCCACATGTGCACAGGAACAATAAAGAACAAAGCAAATCGGAAACGCAAAACTATAAACGAAAACTTACCGCCTAACACAAGGTGACCACTTTGTACGGTTCCGCTTAATACAGAGTAGACTTAAGAAATAACAATTCAGTTCAATAATGATCTTAAGCAAATGCTCTTTATCAAATTCGAATTCATGATTACAAGCATCAGGCTTGACCAGAGAGAAAACGTTTAAACGTGGAATTTACCCCTATTCTTGGCCAACCTGTAAATCTTTCTCTGGTGTTACATCTTTCTTCGTGATTCGTTCCATTTAACCTTTTTATTTGGTCGAACCAAACTAACACTTTGTAATACTCAGTAAAATATAAAAAACGTTGCTGATTATGTTAATGTGGAATATATTTTATGTTCGAGAAAAAGTAAAGTGGGAACATAAAGTTCCCACGATGTGCAGATCAAACTTATTTAGAAATATTTGCAAGGAAAGCCTTTTTTTCTATAACGTATCGGAGAAGCTTCCGTGAAATTATTTTGTGATGTTTATCATTTATTGCAGTGTCATAGTGAGAACTAAAAAACAATTATATCTTCGGATCTAGTGGGAATAACTCGCTGATTTAAACTGTTATATACTCCCTCTTTAAAGAAAAAGTTTTTCCTCTAAATTATTATGATGTGCAGATCACTCTTTTCAAGGCATTTTTGCAAAATAAAGCTTTATTTTTTCTGAAATGATTGTGAGATGTTCATCGTCTTCAGTCTGCAAAATTTCACATGTCTACTTATCAAGTTGTCAACCATTTCTTTTACACTGCCCTCCTTCACTGGATACCTGCAACCACGACCTGCGTTCTTAATCTAAATATAACCTTTCTCATTTCTTTTTGTCTCCAGCAGTAAATCAGCGGATTAACAAGTGAGTTCAACATGGCACATGTTTGCGTCACCGATGCGATGGTAGGGCAAATATCACAAAAGCATGTAACTAACAGAATAAGACAGAAACAAAGAGGCAGAAGGCAAATAATAACAGCACCAACTACAAACATAGTTGTTTTAAGCGCCTTGTTCTCTCTGGTAAATCTTTCCACTTCTTGCTGGGGCAATTGTTGAGTTTTAATCTTTTCTTGTTGAAGACATGTTTCTCGATACATAATGAAGTAGGCGAAAGCGAGGAAAAGAATGCACGAAAGAGTCAGAAGGACAGAAAAAAAACGTACAACTAAGGACACATTTAGAGCTCTAAAAATCCCGATGATAAAAGCAAGGATCCAAACTGCTTACACTGCTCTCTTAATTTTTTCATCAGTTATAAAGTTTGGGTATTGCATCGTAAATTTGATCGCAAGGAGTCTCTCGAGAGTAACCAGCATCAGATGAAAGTATGAAGCTGTTAGAATCACAACTACAGTTGTGGCAAAACAATTTTCAACTGTTCCACTGTCACTGAGACCGAATAATAGGAAGATCTTCCACAGGACAAACAATGGTTGGCCAAGGAGACCAGTTAAGGCGTCAGTCACCGCTAAACAGGCCAGCAAGATGTTGCTGTTGGTACGAAGTCGAGGCGTCGACTTTACAGCTTTTATCACCAGTAGATTGAGTATAACTGTGAAGGGACAAGTGATAGTGTTGATGATGATTACATTTATAGCACCAGCCACCGAAAGGACATCTGCTTTGTCGCCTTCTCTACTGATTGTATTTGTAGCATTTGTAGAATTAGCCGAGGAGAAGTTTACCATGTTGGATTGGAAGCTTGATCCAAGTAAACTAGGTTTCTCGTAAAAACTGTTTCTTTCAGACGTTTGACCTCGCATGAAATCGGCGGAAGATAACGGCAGAGGAAGTCTGACTTTCCTTTTGTAATGAATGACTTAAAAATCTCCTGGGAATGAGTACTCAGTCCACAGGTGCACAAGAACAATCAAGAACAAAGCAAATCGGAAACGCAAAACTGTAAACGAAAACTGACCGCCTAATTCTGGGTGACTGCTTTGCGCGGTGCCACTTAATACAAGATAGACTTAAGAAATAACAATTCAGTTCAATAATGATCTTAAGCAAATGATCTTTATAAAATTTGAATTCATGATTACAAGCACCAGGGTTGACCAGAGAGACAAAACTTAAAAGTAGAATTTTCTTCTTTTCGTTGCCAACCTTTAAATCTCTCCCTGGTGTTATATCTTTCTTGTTTATTCGTGCCATTCAACCTTTTTCTTTGGTCGAACCAAGCTAACATTTTGTAATATCCAGTACAGAAAAAGTGTTTTTGATGATGTAAATATAGACTATTGTATTTTATGCGCGAGAAAGAGTCAAGTGCGAACATTCAGTTCCCACGATGTGCAGATCAAATCTATTTCGGTACATCTTCAAAGAAAAGTCTTTTTTTTTTTCAATAACTTGCTGGACTCGCCATTATTTTGTGATATTTTTCATTTATTGTAGTGTCTCGGTCAGAATTGAAAAAATTATATCTATTGATCTACTGGGAATAATTCGCTGATTCAAACGGTAAAATACTCCTTCTTTAATGAGAAAAACTTTCTTCTCAATTTTTATGATGCGCCGATCACTCCTTTTAAGACATTTCTGAAAGGCGAAGCCTTTCTCTTTTTTTTTAACGCCATTCTGAAATGATTGTGAGATGTTCATTGTCACACGTAGTACGTACACTACGAGACAAACAAGAAGTATCACCGAAAAACATTGTGATCACCTGCTAATATTCCTTGTAACATTAGAAGCGATTCGAAGAAATCGTCACTTATCAAGAGTGGAACGACCGAAGATATTCCGAAACAAACAAAAGCTAAGAGTAAGGAATATCGGGTAAAACTTGGCAGACTTCGTTTTGGACGAAGAGGTCGTTCGCAATCTCATGTTGCATTGGCTTCGCCTCCATAGGAAGCATTAGCAAAAAATATCAAGTCAAGTGATTTGCCTTTTCTAAACCACGTGTACATCCAGCAATGAGTCAATTGAATAAGGGCTTATCGATTCGCTCCACTTTTATGTGCATGTGATCCCACTTGACTTTTCCTCGCGCATGAATTACATCAGTTGATATTTATACTGATAATCAATAAATATATGTTATTTGCCAGCCGGGAGGTCCGTATTGGGGATAAATGTGTCCGAGGTCCGGCCTTGGGCGGTGCTCAAGACAGAGGGCAAATTTTTTTTTAATACGGATCGACCTACGCTAGTGAATAATATCTTTATTTTTTCCTCAAACTTAACTAAATTCTTTCCAAAAGAACCTGAATGATAGATTTAGGGCTGTTATGACGGCTAGATCTTCCATAAACTGAATAATTTTTGAGCGAGTAAATGGTAGTAAAAATAGAGGTGATGCAAATTAAAGAGAGAAGCTTCGCCGAAACATTTTTATTTGCTCAATGATAGAGGCGATTTAAAAGGCTTCCAAACTAAACTTTGAAACATTGTTTTTACAAGTATCTGTCACAATCTGACATCTCTTCATTAGAGAGCGCGCAAGAAATAAAATCGCATGTATACTACGACAATGTTTTCTTCAAAAACAGTTAATGATCTTACGGAAAGTATTATTCACTCTCATCGACGATTAATGAATGTACGCAGATTTACCTCTGTTCAATAAGTAAATGGCAAGGAAAGTAATCGTAAGTAAATTCAGATTTTTTATTTTGAAGTTGTGAGAGTGCTTGTTTGTTCGCTGCAATGGCGTGTATAGATCTGGTCTTTCCTCCGCAAAAACTAATTTCGAATGATAAACTTCAACCGTAGACACATGGGGATTCGAATGCGGCTTTTTCTTATTGAGTTCTTTTAGTTTCTGTTGAGTAATTTACGGTACAAATGTCCAAATTGAACGGACTTGGAAAGACTCACCAAAAGCTTATTTGTTGTAGAACTGATAACTTCGCTCGCCCTTTTACTACGAAGAAATCCTTTGAGGGAATTCAGATATTAAATGAATGAAAGCTCCATCGATTAATTCAACTGTAACCAAATACCTCACGTTTAACTTTCTAGGTACTTTTTGTGAAGGATTAGAATTTATCACAGATGGTTTTTAAGACCACTTGTCAACCAATTTAATGACACTTTAGCCTATACAAATTCATTTCGAAACCAATATTTTTGTCCACCAAAGTGATCTGAGAGAGAGAATAGAGAGGATTACTAGTTATTTATCGGCTTGAGATAGTGAGTGACGTCTTTATTTAAAAATACTGCCCAGCCGGAAAAACCAAAATATATATATGAAAAATGACAACGAAGGTAGGGATGTACCCGGCGATTCACGAAAGCGTTACCGTGCCCGTGGGTAGAGATAGCAAAATAAGGACCGCGCTTACAACCGATCAGATTGTAGAATTCGTTACTGTACCCTCTGAGAAATAGTGATGTTTATGGCCCTGTCCACGCGTGTCTGAGAAATTTTAAATCCGTAACTTTCTCAAGGCACATTTTAAAAAACATTCGCGTCCACACCTACCACTGGGGAAATTTACATGTTATTAAAGGATCGCCAGCGTGTTCAAAAACGTAACGGTCAAAAACACCTTAAGAGTTTTGTTCATCCAGTGGCTTAAAATGCAAAATTTTACATATGCACTTATCAAGTTGTCAACCATTTCTTTTACATTGCCCTCCTTCACCGGATACCTGCATCCACGACATGCGTTCTTAATCGAAATATGACCTTTCTCATTTCTTTTTGTCTCCAGCAGTAAATCAGTGGATTAACAAGTGAGTTTAACATGGCACATGTTCGCGCCAACGGTGCGATGGTGGTGCAAATATCACAAAAGCATGTAACTAAAAGAATAAGGCAGAAGCAAAGTGGCAGAAGACAAATAATAACAGCACCAACTACAAACACAGTTGTTTTAAGCGCCCTGTTCTCTCTGGTAAATCTTTCCACTCCTTGTTGCGGCAATTGTTGAGTTTTAATCTTTTCTTGTTGAAGACGTGTTTCTCGATACATAACGAAGTAGGCGAAGGCAAGGAAAAGAATACACGAAAGAGTCAGGAGGACAGAAAAAAAACGTACAACTAGGGACAATTTTAGAACTCTAAAAGTCCCATTGATAAAAGCAAGGATCCAAACTACTAACACTGCTCTCTTCATTTTTTCATCAGTTATAAAGTTTGGGTATTGCATCGTAAATTTGATCGCAATGAGTCTCTCGAGAGTAACCAACATCAGATGAAAGTATGAAGCTGTTACAATCACAACTACAGTTGTGAAATAACAATTTTCAACTGTTCCACTGTCACTGAGACCGAATAATTGGAAAATCTTCGACAAGACAAACAATGGTTGGCCAAGGAGACCAGTTAAGGAGTCAGTCACCGCTAAACAGGCCAGTAAGATGTTGCTGTTGGTGCGGAGTCGAGGCGTCGATTTTATAGCTTTTATCACCAGTAGGTTGAGTAGAACTGTGAAGGGACATGTGATGGTGTTGATGATTATTATGATTATAAAACCGGCCACCGAAGGGACATCTGTTGTGTCGCCTTCTTTACTGGTTGTATTTGTAGCATTTGTAGAATTAGCTGAGGAGAAGGTTGCCATGTTGAATTAGACGCTTAATCCAAGTAAACTAGGTTTTTCGTTAAAACTGTTTCTTTTAGACGTTTGACCTTGCATGAAATCGGTGGAAGATGACGGCAGAGGAAATCTGACTGCTCTTTTGTAATAATTCAAAAATCTCCTGGGAATGAGTACTCAGTCCACAGGTGCACAAGAACAAGAAAGAACAAAGCAAATCGGAAACGCAAAACTGTAAACGAAAAACTGACCGCGTAACACAAGGTGACCGCTTTGTACGGTTCCGCTTAATACAGGGTAGACTTAAGAAATATCAATTCTGTTTAATAATGATCTTAAGCAATTGCTCTTTATCAAATTCGAATTTATCATTACAAGCACCAGGAATGACCAGAGACAAAAATCTCAAACTTGTAATTTTCCCCTATTCTTGGCCAACCTTTAAATCTTTCCATAGAGTTATATCTTTCTTGTTTATTAGTCCCATTTAACCTTTCTCTTTAGTCGAACCAAACTAACATTTTGTAATATTCAGTAAAATATAAAAACGTTGCTGATTATGTTAATGTGGACTATTGTACTTTATGCGCGAGAAAAAGTAAAGTGGAACATTAAGTTCCTACGATGTGCAGATTAAACCTATTCAGATTTTTCTGGAAGGAAAAGTCTCTTTTTCAATTACGTACCGCAGACGCCAATGTGAAATTATTTTTTGATGTTTATCACTAGTTTTAGTGCCACAGTTAGAACTGAAAAATTGTATCTTCGGATCTATTGGGAATAACTCGCTGATTTAAACAGCAAAGTACTCCCTATTTAGAGAAAAAGTTTTTCCTATAAATTTTCATAATGCGCAGATCACTCCGTTCAAAACATTTCTGCAAGGTAAAGCTTTATTTTTTCACTCGCTGTTTTGAAATGATTGAAAGATGTTCATCGTTTTCAGTAGCACACTACGAGGCAAACAGTATGTAGCACCGAAAAACAGTTTGATTATCTGCTAATATTCCGTGTAAAATTCGAAGCAATTCTCAGAAATCGTCACTAAATGAGCGTTGGAAGACCGAAGATGATCCGAAAAAAACAAAAGCCAATAGTAAGAAATATTGAGTAAAACTCGGCAGACCTCGTTGTGGACGATCGCGAAGAGGTCGTTCGTATTCTATTGTTACCCTCACTCACTCAACAGGTCAG